TATTTCAATATACCATGAGAAAGCATTTTATCCATATCAATAACAAACAACATATCAATTCTAGTATATTATATAGGATTATTAAAATGGTGAGTACAGTTATGAGGTACGAATAACACACATTCCCTGTGAATATATAATCGAGGGAAAATAATTAGTATGGTCTAATGAACCGTTTAAGGATAATACAATAAATCTATTTAAGAAGTAAGTAAAATCAATTTTTATACCTCCAAATCTTCAAACATCGTATTGTTCAATCCGCTTAATAAATTCCAAGAAAGGTCCAGCGTCTCTAATTTACCAATTCTACGATTAATACTTTTTTCATCTATAAATTCAAGCATGTTATGACTGACATTCAAAAATCTTAAAACATATGATTCCATCGAGCAAAGAAAATAAATCCTTTCCAAACAATTTTGTGAAAGGTCTAAAACTTCTAAGTTACTTAATCGTGTTGCACAGTCTACGAAGCTGTTTAAAGCATTTCCACTGAGATTTAATTCCTTTGAATTCTGTAAATAAATTTGATGACCATATTTTTGAAAAAATTCCCTATTATCTATATTCATATTGGAGAGGTCAACCTGAAATGAAATTATTAATTTACATATTAAAAATTTGTTTAGGGTTAAGTAAATTAATTATATTACGTATTAAACTGTTCAAATTTAAGATAAGAACTAGACAAAAATTTCAAATTACTTGTCGAACAAGGTCGTACAAAAGTCGGATGATATTCAAATTAACACATATGTATTTTTTGTTTCTTCTCTTTTTAAATAGCTGTTTTCTAATTAAAATGTCAGTTAATGTAAAAATAGCGTCAGACTTTTTACTATTTTTAACAGCGAAAATATGTTAAAAATTGTATAAAATAACTGATAAATTATTTTATAAGTGTTTGCAGTATCAATAACACCGTCCGACACAATTTTTGACCCACAAAAAATTTAACATTTTCGGAAACTAGGACCCAAAAAAAATACCCGTATCTGGTCGTTTTGCTAGATCAAGTCGTTTGTGGTTTTTAGGGGTGAAAACAACCCCTAAATGAAAAGTGACAAGATATCTTTTAAAAATTATTAATTTTTTATAAAACTTGGTATCTGGGGGTTTTCGGGGTCACTGATTATTAATTTATTTATTTATTTATTTATTTAAATATTTGAAGTTCCTAGGGCTAGATAGCCCTCCGAGGAACAATGACATATTTATACATATTTAAAGAATTATAACGATATAATAAAATACATAATGAAAACATAATTAGTAATTACCGAGTAAAAATATTTAATATAACTTTAAAAATAAATTTTTGAAATAAATACGAAAAAAAAAAAAAAAAAATTTATAATGTTGATAACCAATAAATATAAATTCGATGCAAACATTGAATTTAAAAATAAGAATTATATTGAGTGAGTAAGATAATTTATAAGCAGTTATACAAATAAAGAGAAAAAAAAATAGAATTTACCAGTGCGTTATATTGAACATTTCGTTGTTATGTTTAAATAAGAAATCAAAAAATAACTTTTTAAAGGTAACCTGGCTAGGTGCATCTCTTATTTCTGGTGTCAATTTATTCCATAATCTAGCACCTCTAATACTAAATGATTTTTGTACTTTACAAGTTCGGTGAGCAGGTATCTTTAATATTGATTTTCTATCTCGAAGTCTGTTATGAATAGAATCAAGAGAGTTTCTGAACTCAAATATGTCATATAGGTATGATGGACTTTTAGTGTTAAAAATTGAATAAAGTAGATTTCCCATAAAATACTGTCTTCTAGTAGCTACATTCAATAGTTGCGACTTAATTCGATACTGAGAAATATGCTCATACTTACTCTCTAAATCTGAATAAGTGAAATTTCACTTAAAATGTGTCAAAAGTCTTCCACGTAGAAAAATAAGTGTATATGCACTTAAAAATAAGTGAAACTTCACTTATTTTTGAGTGAAAACCACTTATTTAAAAGTGCATATACACTTATTTTTCTACGTGGAAGACTTTTGACACATTTTAAGTGAAATTTCACTTATTCAGATTTAGAGAGTAGGCAAATCATAAACATATCGAATACAAGCATTTAAGGATCTTTCCAATTTTTTGTTCAATTCATCAGTTATATCATCATATACAAGGCAACAGTAATCAAAAAATGGAAGAATAAGTGATTTAACTAGTAATAAACGTGTTGATGTGGGAAGTGAATCTTTACTTTTGTTTAGTTGATGTAGTACTGTGTATGTTTTACGGGAAATTTCATAGACTTGGTCTTTCCATGACAGTGATCGATCTATAAGTAACCCAAGATCTTTAACTGATTTCCTTGTAAATCTGATGTCAGATTTTCAAAATTCAAAATGGCGGATCCAATATGGCGATCAAATTTTTAAAAAGTTATTAATTTTTTTATTTTATATCCGCCAATTTGAATTTTGACAATTTAACATCAGATTCGTCATCAGCGACCCAAAAAACCCCTAGATATCAAGGTTTAAAAAAAATTTAATAACTTTTTAAAATTTTGACCGCCATATTGAATCCGACATTTTGAATTTTGAAAATATGACATCAGATTAATAATTAGTGACCCCGAAAACCCCCAGATACCAAGTTTTATAAAATATTAATAATTTTTAAAAAATATCTTGTCACTTTTCATTTAGGGGTTGTTTTCACCCCTAAAAACCACAAACGACTTGATCTAGCAAAACGGCCAGATACGGGTATTTTTTTTAGGTCCTAGTTTCCAAAAATGTTGGATTTTTTGTGGGTAAAAAAAAAGTTGAATTTTGTCGGACGGTGTAATATTAATGTTTCCAATTAATATTGGACTGTATTTAATGTATTTTTATACATTAAATTTATACATTATCATTTTGTTTAAATAGAGAAGGTGACGCCTCTCGTTGATAAAATTTTTATTTAAACATGTAAATTTTTATAATAATTCTATCCCAAAAACAAATACAATATCGAGTGAACTAAAGACTGAAAAACTAAATTTATATATAATATATCAAAGTATATCTTTCTGTGACAGATAATTAGTATTTATTATTACAATATCAATTCACTGTGTACTTACTTTATCGTATTCTGCTGATATATTTATAATAGAAACGTTGAAAACCACTATAATGTAAAGCCATATTACCAAACGCATCTTAAACTTTAGAAAAAAATCAGTACATTCATAACACTTAATTTACCTATATAACGATTTAAACTTACACTCAACGATTGATAGAATGAAGACAACTCATCGACAACAAGCAGGTCAAAGAGTTCAGAACTGTGAGAGGCTAACATACAAATCTTTGATAAATATTAAGATTGTTTCGAATAGAATTCATAATATGAAATTTAGCTCCGAAATTTTATTGCTATAACACTATCATCTCTCTCATAATTTGTGGGGAAAATTATTTCGTTTTACATCATATTCAATAAAACTCATTATCGGGTCAGAACATCTAAATTTCATTCGATTCTTTCTCTGGTACTCCTTATATTGATATTTTCTTGGCTTTAAAATTTGCCATAATTTTTGAAGTTCGAAACATTATAACTTTTCTGATTTAGGAGCACAATTTAGGAATTATCCTGTCCTTTTATAGGTAGTTAGGGGGCGTCCATTAATTGAGAGAGCACAAATTAGGGGGGGAAGGGTCTGCCAAAATCTCACTAAATCTCACCTAAGAGGGGGGGTTCAATCAAAATCTCACGTCAACTTTATAATTTGGTCTTCTTCTTCTTCTTTTTACCTCTTAAATGACTAGGATAATTTGGTCATTTTTTGCGAAAGTCAAATGCACACCTCCGTAAAATGTTAAAAAGTTATAACGACCCAACACTGCTCGAAGGGTAGCTAAAATATTGTAGGGAAATATCGATATTGTCGATGCCCAATACTCATAGATTAGGTACGGCATTTTAGGGACGCATGAATATGCAACACATATCAATTAAACGAACAGTCATTTAACCGAATTGCCATTTGACTGAATTGTCAAATAACAGAATTGTCGTTTAACCGAATCGTCACTTAACCGAATTTTCATTGAACCGAAAAATCACTTAACAGAATTTTCAGTTGACAGAATTGACATTTAACAGAATTGTCGTTCGACCGAACTGACATATTACTGAAATGGCAAATAACTGAATTGTCATTTAAACGACATAACAAATTATCGGATTGTTATTTAACCGACATTTCCAGTAACAGAATTGTAATTTAACCGAAACCCAATTTAACCCAAATATCATATTACCGAAATGTCATCTTACCGACTCGTCAATTAACAGATTTGTCATTTAACCAAAACGTCATTTTACCGAATTGTCATTTAGTCGAAATGTCATTTAACAGAATTGTCAATTAACAAAATTGTCTTTTAACCGAAATGTCATTTAACCGACACCATTTTAGTATGTGAGTTCACTTTCTATTGAGTATGTAGTTTTGTCGGTAAAGTAAACGTAGAGGGTGATATGCACACTTTCTTATATTATAGTGCCTTCTAAGTTTACTTTACTGACAAAACTATGTACTCAATATACAGTGAATTCACATATTAAAATGGTGTCGGTTAAATGACATTTCAGAAAACCGACAATTCTGTTAAATGACATTTCAGTTAAATGACAAATCTGTTAATTGACAAGTCGATAATATGACATTTCCGTTAACTGACATTTCGGATAATTTACTTTTCGGTTAAATTACATCTCTGTTACTGGACTGGACGCGTTTAAAGTTTGCATTTTTTTATACGCAATATTTGTCTACTCTAAAAAAATCGATTCAATTTGCCTGAAATTCGCTACTTGAGGGTTTTTGGGGTCTCTGATTACGAATATGATGTTAGATTTTCAAAATTCAAAATGGCGGATTCAATATAGCGGACGACTTACGACCACAGCGGTACTCAGCTTTGGGACGTCGCGATGAGTTCAAGGCGCTGTAGAAATGAATATATTCTTCGGATCAAAAAATCACTTTGTTGTTTAAACTCAATGAAAGCTTACAGCAAGATATCTATATATGGGTATAATATTAAACTTTAACAATATATTTTAAAAATTAATTAATTCTTAACAATAAATTATTTTCCTTGTTTGAAGCCCACATTTTGTACTGCACTAAAGACCTGATTACCAAACTTCATTGTAGTGCTCAAGGAATTAAGCATTGATGACATTATACTTTTTGATCGCAAGGTTTCCATTGTTATTTGATGTGTTCCTGAAGAAGATTTTTATTTTATTGTGAAAAATATATTTTATTAGAAATTATAACAGTTTGCAAATCTTTTTGCACCAATAAATTACAAGGAGAGAAGAGTTATAGTGCACGCGACTATTACTATTATTATTATTATTATTATTATTACTATTATTATTATTTTAATCACGCGAGTCGAGATTCCCCTATTTGCTCCCATGTCCCATACATAATTTTTTATAACACCTTGCGTCAAAAACTCAACTAAATCGCTGTCTTTTACACACTAGTGCTTAAAAGGAGGGGAAATCGTACTTTTACGCATACTTTTCCCTTCCATCACAGCAATTTAGGCGAGTTTTTGACGCAAAATGTTATAAAAATGAATATTCAGTATAGGTTACTATACAGCGTTCAGTTTTTTCGTGTTGATTGTACTAAACAAAGTAGTGAAGATAAATGTCTGCTTAGTTATGTGAACAATACCAATGATTGTCAACCTTGCAATCGGTATATTTTATATATTGATTTATATATTGATTAAGGTTAAGTAGCATCAATATTTTTCAAAACTTTCTATACTTATTTATGTTATAATATTTTTTACGATATTGTCACGATTATAAACATTTATTCTTTACTTTTTACTTGAAGATAATGAATATATTTTCTAGACACTATTTAAATAAATCCTGTAAGCTTTTCATTCTCCTAAAGTATTATATAAAAATACTTTTTTATATTAATTTAATATTTTAAGCCCACCATTCCGTATTTTTTATAAACTTATTTTTGAGGATTTGTACCATGAATTATACCCTGTTGAAAATTCCTATGTGAGAACACATATGGGATCCCATCCAGGATCTCTTGTGAGTTCTTATGTGGGTTCCCATACAGGTTCACACATAAGATCCTGTATGAAAAGGTTCCTGGGATGAACTTGCGTGAGATCAAGCGCACGATCTTATGTCTCTGTAAAAGCAATAACACAGGATCCCATGAGGTTTCCTGTGTAGGTTCCTATATGAACAACACGATAAATAGGAACACACATGGGATCTTATCCGAGATCTTGTATGAGTTCTTACATAGGTTCTCACATATAAGAAGATTAATAGCAGCTTAATAAGATTTGATATAAAATCTTATTAAGCTGCTATTAATCTTCTTATATGTGAGAACCTATGTAAGAACTCATACAAGATCTCGGATAAGATCCCATGTGTGTTCCTATTTATCGTGTTGTTCATATAGGAACCTACACAGGAAACCTCATGGGATCCTGTGTTATTGCTTTTACAGAGACATAAGATCGTGCGCTTGATCTCACGCAAGTTCATCCCAGGAACCTTTTCATACAGGATCTTATGTGTGAACCTGTATGGGAACCCACATAAGAACTCACAAGAGATCCTGGATGGGATCCCATATGTGTTCTCACATAGGAATTTTCAACAGGGTAAAATTTGAAAATATTATTAACAATACAAATGCGTTATTTTTATTGAATTATAAGAGTTTAATCGTTAATGTATATTTAAATAAAGTATAAACAGAGTTGTAGAGATGACAGTTTATTCCGTGCACGTTACTTAAGAAGTGAGTAATCGTGATAACTAAACGGCCGTTCAGTGCATCTGACAGTTTTTTTTTGTTAATCGAAAAAGTCACTATATTGTTTAGTAACCATGACTGAAGGTTAAGTATGAACCACTATACTCTTCTCTCCGTGTAAGTAACATTGGTACTAAAGGCAGTATAACTATAAGGGGCAAAAATCAAGTGGCATTAACCCACATATCACAACATATTGTAGTAATGTTATCATATGATTATTTGTATGGATTGTGGAGTTACATCGTAAGCCTGTAGTAAACTTATAGTGGCGTTAAAACTTCCACCCTGATGGTCAGCTTACTCGTTAAGGTTGTGGTAGAAGATCCGCCCGGTGGAAAAAACTTGTACAGGATCGTGAACACGATCTTGTGCATGATCTTGAACCGATCTTGCACATGTTTATTCACTAGGTCATGTACAAGAGCAGCAAGTGAACATGAAAAAGAATTGGAACAACGCTCTTGTACAAGAATATGTAGATTGGTTAGTAAAGACTCTTTGTTCATACATGCAAAAAACAATTGTGCAGCTATATAAGCCATGGAAAACTACTGCGCAGCCATTAAAGATATTGATTATAAACTGTAATGAAAAACTCAAGGTCATGTACATGAAATCACGCACGATCTTACACAAGTACACGAGCATGGACGCGAGACCTTGATTTCTTTATAGTTACCATGAATAAACATATGCAAGTTCTTGTACATATTCTTGTACAAGATCGTTGTTCCAATTCTTTTTACATGTTCACTTGCTGCTCTTGTACATGACCTGGTGAATGAACATGTGCAAGATCGGTGCACAAGATTGTATACAAGTTTTTTCAACCGGGCGTAATTTAGTGCTAATTAAAGTAAGAGATGCCCTCAATAAGTATAATTATAATATTATCAAAAATAAAAAAAGATCTGATAATATATGGAATACTATTAAAAAATTAAACTTAATACCTAACAAAATGAAATCCAATAACTTTTGAGTAACGTTAGACCAATCCTTAAAGTAATAAATCCAAATAGTGTATCCGATTTTAGACCCATTTCTATTAAATGTGCCTTAGCTAAGCCCTTGGAAAGACTAGTATGTGAACGAATGACTTTGTTTCTATCAAAAAATAATATACTAGAACCATTCTGCCGTACGAAGTAAAAACTTAGTTAACTCATATTTTGGCGAAAAATGAGTTTTTGGTATCAATGGATTCGTAATAAAAAACGCGTCTGATGGTATTATTAAAAAATTTTTATTTAATTATTTATTGCAAAAAAATAATTATAAAAAATTGTCGAAAACCCAGAAAATGAAGAAATACTACATAAAAAGTATGCTAACTCGAGTTAAGGAGTCCGAAAGTCGTAGCTCGAGCATGATATAAGAAACAAAAACTCAGTCAACTCGAGTTGAGTATTTTTGCTGTCAAAAACGTAGTCGAATTTCATGCATAGTTTCGAAACGAAAACCTTAACTCGAGTTAAGTGAGTATTTATTTCGAAAAGTGGCGTGAGCTAGACCCTGTGTTTCGAAAGCAAACTCCTCAACTCAACATCGTTTAACTTCGGTTTCTCGTCGGGTTGGTTCGGAATCTCGCGTGCTATGATCATGCCGGTTTGTTATTCTTGCAAATAATGCACCGGCTTTTTAGAAAAAGTTTACTTTAGAAAAAAATAAATAAGTGAATAAGTGAAAAAAAAACGAAAAAAATACAAAATTTTCTTTGATTTTTTTTACTTTTAAAAAGTTTAATTAATAGTTTTTTACTGTTGATTATTATATAAAGACTGTTGTAGTAATTATAAACAGCTGTTGTAAGTTATTTGAATATTATAAGCAAATATAATCAATGTTTTTCCACTAATAACGCCGTTTTTTCATACAATCCTTCTACACATTTTTAATTGTAATAAATTTTATACTGAAACATGTTGATTAAAATTTAATTTTTAAAAAAATATTAATAAATAATAAAATAATAAAAAAATATATAAATTAAAAATAATAAAAATAATCTTTGTCAATCACAATCAGAATAAAATTTAACTCAAAAACAAATTTTTTATAATGTGTATTTATTCCCCCACCTCGCGTGCTAGCTTGAGTTAGGTGAGTTTTTACTTCTGAGCGGCGGCTCGAACTCGCCTACCTTTTCGGAAAGCACTCCTTAACTCGAGTTAACTAAGTTTTGCTTGTGTAAAAAAACACTTATCTCAATTATTTAATATAATTTGTTTAAATAATCAATTTTTGACAACGGATTTAGAAAGAACTCTATTTATTTACCTAGAAAGTGAAGTTAGATTAAAGAATTATTTATATTATATTAGGTTTTTTAAGACAAACAGTCTTTCATCATTTTCTCGGTTTCACGAAAATATGAGTTAAGTAAGTTTTTATTTCGTACGGCAGCATTACAATCCGGTTTTGGCTTTAAGCATAGCATTAATACTGCATCGTTTTTACATCTGACATTAAACTTGCAGTGGATGCAAATCATATCATTATTGTTAGATTTTTTGACTTCTCAAAGGTATTTCCGTCAGAAAATCATAATTTACTAGTTAGAAAACTTATTGTTAGTACATTTAAAATGTCGAGTACGGTTTGTGATTGGTTTATGTCATATCTTAGTTACAGGCTACAAAGAGTTGTGGATTATAACGGTTATAAATTAGATTGGGATATACTTAAATGTGGTATTTCACAGGGTGCAGCCCTTTCCTTGATGCTATTTAATCTTTTTATTTCAGACCTCGGTAGCGAATTAAAATTTTGTAAATACCATAAATATGCTGATGATTTCAAATCTCCGGTCCATTAGCATTACTTTCTGAATTTATTCAAAATATTCAAACGTTCATAAATTATGTTGTTAATTGCTCAAAAAATAATGGGCTTAAATTTAATCCTAATAATACTCAGGTCATTGAGGGCTACAAGCTTACGATGTAACTTTACAATCCATACAAATTAATGATATGATAACCGTACTGCAATATGTTGTGCTATATGCAGGAATGTCACTGTTTTGTATTCTAATAACGTGATAAAATTTTTTGAAAAAGCACTAAAAATAAGTGACCTTTTATAAAAAAAATTTACAACTTACCAAATAAAAATTTTATAATTGCTTCATTCACGAATTCTGGTTTTTCTTGATGTGGAAAATGATGTGCTCCTGGGACTAATTTTACGTTAACTTTCTCGATATACTCTGAGCTTTGTATTACACTTGCAAGCGAAACAAGGGGGTCAAGATTACCGATTAAAAGCAATGTCTGAATGTTAATAGGTTCCATTGAATGTGGACTTAACCGTATATATGGAAGATTGCGATAATAATTAAGTGGTCCTGTCCAATCCTCTGAAAATAATTAAGCAATTACCTTTTAATATTATTATTAAATTGAATTTTCAGGGTTTTAATTTACCTTTTCTAGAAAATGCATATTTGTAAGCTTCTACATAGTTTTTTTCTTCATTAGTTTCTTTTAATTGCAGATGTGAAAATGTATCATTAATTATTGATAGGTCTTCCTTTAAAGCATCTATTTCCGGTAAAAATGGAAGTCTGCTAAAGTGAATCCACCTTAAAAATGAGAGAAATTAATTTATTTTAAAAAATGTAAGTAAAGGGTAAAATCTTTACTTATCCTTATGGCATATTGCGAAAAAATAACTATACCAAAAATAAAAGCAATGCGACCCTTTTTTTATTTGTGTTTAATGTAAATAATATTAAAACAAAATTATAATAATACAAATATTAACTAACTTGATACCAAGGGCAGTCTCACCAGGAATCCCGTTCCAATAGATATTGGGATGTGGACTTGATATTGCAACAAATTTATGAACCATGTTTTCATGCAATGCAACAAAATACCATCCCAAAAGACCTCCCAGATCATGTCCAATTATACTGCAATTTTTTACTCCAAGAGAGAAAATAAATTGTTCCAGTTCATCCAATAGGATTTCAATTTTGTAAGAACTTCTTTTAGGTGGTTTGTCACTGTCGCCGAAACCTTTTAAATCCAAAGCTACTACACTACAAAAATTGAAAAATCCATTATCACTTTTTCTTTTATCTAATTTAAACTTTTTCTTTCGTGTTTCTACTTTTGTTTTTGGTTGAATATCTTAAATAAGGAGTATTAATTAATAATTTTTTAATAAAACGGTAAATTTTTTACCAAACCGAAAGTTTGAGTAATTTATTTAAATGGTTAGGGGTTTTAATTAATATACTTCTCGGACGTTAAACATTTTTAATAGTGTCAATAAAATTTTTTTTTCAAAAACTATAAAGAGGAAATAGAAACTTTTAATATTACCGGTAATGCATTGACAAAACTGGTAGTTGTTCTCTCCATGACAACCAGCAATCTGGAAATCCGTGTAGAAGTAGAAGAACAGGTTTATCTTTATCTCCCGTTTCAACATAATGAAATTTTACACCCTAAAAATAAATTACCTTTACGTGTGTTATACATTTTCAAATAATAGAAAAACTATTCATGAGCATCTCAATATTATTCAATGAAGAAAAAGGTTCTGTTAATAATTAATATTTTATACAATATATATGGGGTAAAATTCCTGTAGCGTAATAAGTGAAAAAAAGTTGATCGGATCGGGCTGTAACTTAGTACGCTACAGGAATTTAACCCCATATACAACTTACTTTTAGTTTCACGTATAAATGTTCGCCCAGGCTGTTATCTACTAAACATTGAGGGGGTTTATCTCTTCGTTGTAGGAGAAAAAAATTTTTTGGATTCCAGGCCCATTGAAGTAAACGTTTTACTATTAAATATAGTCCATATGTGAACGATAGAAAATGAAGTTTCACTATCTCCAGCAAAGAAACGTGAACTACTTTGACGTTCATTTCTTATAATTTGTTATTTTTATACTAAGATAAAATTAAACTATTTCTTCTTTATCCAATTATTATAACTTCAAAAGTTTATTACCATATGATGTAATATATGATTCAATTACTTAAAATCAAAAACAGTAGAACCTCAATAATTTAAAAACCTCTGTAAGTCAAAGAATATGTTAATTATTATTGAAATTAATATATTAATAATAATTTATGAGTGAAGTACTTACTCATAGTACTAAATGTTATGCAAATTGCAGCCTTCAAAAGTTTTGCTTTATATAAATAATATAAATATAAAAATATACATAAAATACATTTAAATGTCCAGTTTTTTCTGTGTATAAAACATATTTATAAAGCTATTTCACTTTTACTTATTTGTTTTAGAAAATAAATATTTACACTTTGCTCTATATTTTGAACTCCATTTTCCTATTTCTGAAGAGTTTGCGAATTGTCAAAAATATGTATGTGGTTTTAAAAAATATCACTTGGTTATAAAAAATATAATTATCATCAGTCCACTTGAAAAAGTATATTGAAATTCACACACATGTGTCAAATTCATTGAAAGAAAGTTTCTGTAATGTACTAACTTTCTTGTAATGAGATATTTTCGTAATTATTATACAATAAACCACAAAGTTCTAGGTCGAACATTCACACACAGTTCGCTTGCTATTATGTACTGCAAAAGATATCATTATCTGATGCTGCTGATATTATTAAATTGAGTTCCTTATTAATAAAAAAAAAATTCCAATAGATTATTGTTCTTTATCTCAAAAAACGTTTACCAAATATAATTGCAGAAGTGTCTCGCGTGTATAGCTCACTACGAATGAATATAGATAAAACATACTATTTTTCAAGTAAGTTCATCAGTCATCCGATGGACTGTGACCTCAAACATATCGTATTCTAATGTTTACTTGTGACGTATAAATAATCAGTTCATATTTTCGAAATTTTAGTTATCATTTTTTTTTAAAATTCTTATGTATTATATTATATATGCATATTATTATTTATTAAATAAATAAAATATTGTATTTTTAATAATTGTTAATATGTGAAAGATGAATTTAATCAAATAATCCTTTCTAATTGAATTTGGCAATTCTTTACCAAATTGATGCGGTCGTGGATCTCAATGTATAATTTAAGATTTATGACCTATAGTACGAATCCTCTACTCGACTTTTACTATACGTTGATCTTTGAACAGATCTCTTTGTGTGCGTTGCTCTGACACCTGAGTTTTTGGAAATTTCTTAATAGACTTTTGGACTTCACTCCAGAAACTAGTTTCACTGTTTACAAATAGATGATACTCAATAATTATGAAATGTTTATACTTTTTTAACTGCGTTGATGACTAAACTCTTCACTGATGTATATATATGTAAGTGCCGAATTATATTAACAATGATGTATATATTTTTTAACTGCTCAAAAATAATTTTGACTTTTGTAACTGCCTAACTCTGAATAATTCTACTACTACTTCTGCATAATACTAAAGTAAATGGAAAAGGTTTCCCTTTAAATAGTATAAATTTTTGTAGGTCAATCTTCGGATGGTACCAGCTAACAAAGGCAGATTTTTTGTGCCACGGTACCTGACCTTCCTCCTTCTGAAGCACTTACGCCAACGCGTAACTCTTCTTCCTGAGTAAAGCAATTCAGGTCGCAGTTCTCCAGTGTGATTTATCGATCCACCATCTCCTCCGATTTTGATAAGGAAATCTCTCCTTTTTCCCTGATAGCACCGAATTCTGCAGGAAGTTAACGACCATAAGTTCGGAAGTTAACACTGTTAACTTCCCAGAAGTTTTAAATGTCCTCAGAGTTTGAGTTAACACTGTTAAATTGCTAGAATTTATAAAGCTGAATTTGCCGAAAGTTTTTTTTAGTAAGTTTGCATAAATTTTGCAAGAAGTTTTTTTTTGATAAATTCAAAATATAAAAAAAATATTTTTTTCAAGATGTATGTATTTTAGTACATCCATAGCTTGTTTATAGGGAAATGTTATTAAAAAGTATTGCACAGCCCTAACTGTCATAGAAAACATCTGTGCATGAAAATAGATTTTTAAGTTTACCATAAAAATTTTGTGTAAAATTACAAAGGAAAACTTTAAGCAAATTTACTTTTCGAGCTTTCAACAAATGAACAGTGTTAATTTAAACTATGAGGACAAATAAAACTTCTAGGAAGTTAACAACGTTAACTTCCAAAATTATCGCCGGCCTAAACTTCCTGTAAAGTTCAGTGCCTTCTGGATTGTAGGCCTTGCGCGCACGACCTGCTTATAGCTGCGACGTCCGGATTCACTTCCTTCCGAAATTTGCTCAGTACGTCGGCATACGTTGTTTCTGTTGCGATGGTTTGCTTCAGATTAGGTGTTACCGTTACCTTTGCAATCTTTTTGACAAGAGGTACCTCCTTTTGCTTTTTCTTCTTCGCCTCGGCGTCAGTCCTCTCCGAACTGCCAGAGCTTTTTCTTCGTTTCTGCGCCTCTATGACTGCGCGCTGAAGAAGTTTATCATGGATACGCTTCCATTTTCTGTATCTCTCTTCTCGGTTCACCTCCGCATTGCCTATACCGTCACCAAGGTTGCTATCTCCATTATCTGCTATATCCATTATCTGTCTTCACCTCACTGACAAGATCCGGAAGAGTCTTAAGTCTGTCTTTAATAATCATGTTGACATCAGCAAGGCTTTATTATATTGTCGATCTCCTTTTCGAACCTCTGAAGACACTCAGCTTCCTCCTGCCTAAAACACTTCTCGCGTTCTTCTTCAATTCTCTCGTTGTCTAGGTCAGATGTAATCAAACTTCTTCCGCTGCTGACACTAGAAACGCTTCCTCTTCTACTTCCAAATCTTTCCAAACATACTTGGGGAACTTTAAGAAATTGGGTGCTCACATGGTCCATTCTCCTTGTGGCATTGGATGCTGCTGTACCCAAGGTGTCTAATACTGCAACACTTTTGTCACTGGATTTCGACGCTGGAAGCCAACTTGCTCACATCCAGCAGCGCCGGTACTTGGGTATCCCTCCCATGCACCGTAAACGTACTTATTTAATCCTTTGTTTTCCATATCTTTGTCTCCTTACCTAACATCTTGGTTTTTGGATGTCCTTTAGTGAAAAGCCCCACCAGCACGACAAGAGCTACCAAGAATTTACAAGACTCTTCTTAGCGAATTGAATATAAATAAATTTGCCGATGAAACAGAGAGGAATGAAAGAAAGTAGAGGATTTGAAATTAAAAATGAGGGAGTTGTTGAAGAAAGTGGAGATGATGGAAAAAGATAAAGAGAAAAGAAACATAATTATACCGTAATTATAATTATATCATAATGAAAATATGAGGGGGGAAATTGAAAGATTGTTGACAGGTATCGGGATAAAAGTTATAATATCACGAGAATATTCTAATTACAAGAATATAATTTATTTATTTTATATTTACGAAATCTATAATTTTATAACACACTAATTGTTATACACAAATCCTAATTTTTCGAAATATTTTCTATTATTTTATGTAATAAAAATAAACAGCACATAACAGTGAAAGGGAATTGTATATATTGACTTATATAAGTGTTATATTACTGTTCAACGTTTAAATGTAAAACCTTTTCTGCGGCTTTTAGTATCAACCAAAAATTGTGCTTGCTTTTTTAACAAAACTCTTGAACCAATTTCATCCTCATCTTCTGAAAGTTGCGTTTGCGGAACTGCTGAAGATGGAGTATTGTGAAATAAAGGAAACAGCCGATGTTCTCCTTGTTTATCTCTTAAACAAACATTTTCCCCAGGTATACTTTGTTGCTGTAAAATTATTACATTATTAATATAACAAACTATTATGTTTAAGTAACAAAAATGTCTAATGCGGTTCTTTTATTCTAAAATGAAAACATCATTAAAATATAAATCATAAAAAATTATAAGCCACATAACTTAAATATTTGAAATGAATTAGTGAGAGGTTTTGTAATCGAATCGATATATAAGTAAGTAACTTAGATGGGTAACTTTGTGTTCAAGATTATTATAATTTTATCTTCTTTAGAGCATTTAAATTTATACTCAGTTTACTAATTTTTTAATAATATATTCGCAATATTAACATACCGTGCATAGAATAATAATCAAAACTTCTAGAATGGAATGAATGTTCAAGCACATGTTCAGGATTTTTTAACTTAGCACAGTTTTCGTAAGTTTTTTCAAATATATATTATGTAGATCTCACCTTATTGGATAAAGTTGTTTCGCTTAAGAAATAATCAACAGTTGGTGCCATATTTATTTCCTTCATAATTCTATTTTTTAGCATATTTAGACATTCTGTAGAACTGTTAAACTGTTGATCTTCCGACACTAAACAATCCTGTAAAATTTTTAATTAATTTAAAAAAAATATTAAATCGTTCTTGAAAAAAGTCACTATTATAAGTATACATTTCAGATGAAAATGTTCACTCATGGAAACCTAATGATTTTTAAAGGTACATTAATTACAGCGAAAATATTTTTTGCATAAGACATTTTCATATTTTAATTCGAGGTTCAATATGTATAACTTTACACTCACAAATGATTCTTGTGAGTAAAATTACGCTCTAAGTAAATTTTGTTTTCTTTCTTAGTATATTTACTTACTGGTATTTTAGCGTATAATTTTTTAAATTTGTCAAAAATTCTTTTTGTCAGATCTTGAACTTTTTTATTTTTTAGCATAATTATTTTTTGACGTAATTTTTCATTGGCAGCAAATTCAACAATGTTCACGAGTTCTTCATTTCTTCTAAAGCAGTAAACATTTGAAATTAAAATTTTTATTGCGGTAATTAAAAATGTTAAACATGTAAAGTGAAACAATAAATATTTCATGCAGAATGTGAATGTTTAATTTTTATTTCTGTTTGTAATTAATTAATATGACCAAAGGAATATATGGAATTATATTTTACTATTAGAATATATGCTGTTACTTGTAGAAAAATTGATAGCTAAACTGCCTTATAGCATAATGAGCTTACAAATATTTTAACAATATAAAAAATGATAGTATAAAATAGCTTACTGATTAGTATCTTCTGCTTCAGCAAACTTTTTCACTTCTACTTCAGTGGACAAAACTTGTCTTTTATTCTCTAATGATATTTTTTCACGTTCTGTTTCAGAGCGTATATTTTGTAGCTTTTGTTTTAAACTACGTTGTTTAAAAAATTGATTTAATACATCCTTCTTTTCGGTAACTTCAGCAGCATTTTGCAAATTTTCGATTGCTTTTTTTAATGTAATTGCAAGAGGTACAGGTACTTTTTCATCATATATTTCTTTATTTTTATTTATATCACAATTGTCTTGAGATGTTAAATGAACTGCAGGATATATGGATCGTTCAAGTCGATCAAATTCTAGCTTTCTATCATCAACCTTTTTCCTGCATTAAAAATTTAACATGAACTATTGTTTTATCTCAAAAGTTGTTATTTTTATCAGACACTATAAGAGTGTATTTAAGCTGTAAGGGAAGCCCTGCGGATGGTTGTCCGCTACCAAAAGAGTCTTGTAAATTCTTGGTAGATCTTCTCGAGGTGATTAGGCTTATAGAAGTTTTACTTAAATATGCAACATATATGTATATCGATCCAGGAGAGGTACTTCTATTCACCTAAATAAATCTCGTCAATAACAGTTATTAACATTTATTAGAAAATAACAGGTATCAGGAATATATATAAAAATTAGTTAAGAAGTGTTCCTTATTCGACATTCAACATGGACTGATATTGTAGCCGCGTCGCAAGGGACGGTCCCCACTCATTATCCCTTCTTCGTCAAGGAGGGGGTTAAGACTACTCATTTATATGTCGAATAAAATACCATGTCGCCACAGGCTTTTCACTGAAGGACATCCAAAAACCAAGATGTAAGGTAAAAAAAATAAATATGGAAAGCAAAGGTTTAAATAAGAACGCTTACGGTGCAGGGGAGGACACCCCTTAAGGTTGCCCAGATCCGTTTGGAATGACTTGGAAGTAGAAGAGGAAGCGCTTCAAGCGTTTCTAATCTCAGCAGCGAAAAAAGTTTGATTCAGTCTGACGTGAGAGGTAATGCTGATTCTACACTCACCTAAAACTGCCAATCCAGAGTAGTTGCATTCACAGCAGAGGTCACCAAAGCGATTGGAAGCATGGGGAAGATGCAGACATTGAATCGAAGGGTCACACACTGGAGATCCGCGACCTAAACTGTCTTACCCAAGAAGCAGAAGTGCAACAAAGGTTGCAAGAAATGCTCGAAAATTCAAAAAGCAGGTAGGTGACGGTCTTAGGACCCAACAAGCGATGGATGATGCTCGCAGTTGTAGTTACCGACCAAGAAGAGGCAGACAAACAGGAGCATTTGGGTTGCATAAAGATAGGTATTATGTCGTGCCCAAAAAAGAAAAAATTGATGATCACAAGATGTAATCGTTGACTTGATTATGGACAAATAGGAAAAATTTATTAGGCGGCGGACAGACCGGCTGCGTGTTATAAGTGCAGTGAATCTGAACACAAGTTCACAGACTGCAAGAGAAGCCCAAACTGCTTCTAATGCAATGAGAAGTACGGTGATAAGGTAAATAATAACCATATCGCTGGTAATAAAGCAAAAATATAAAAAAAAAAAAGTAAATTTCATAGCCATTGAGTACAAATCAGATTATCTAAACCGGCAAGAAATTCATTAAATGCAGTGGGAGAAAAAGTTTGTTAAGTACGAAAAATATAATGAATTAAATTATATCAAAATAAAATTTACACTTTATTAGTGATAATTATGTCTTTTGTAAATTTCATAAATTGTAAAATTGTTAAGTTAGCACAGCAAGAATTTTACGCCTACCTGTAAGATATTATTATTTTATCCCTGTCTTTGCTAATAATCATTGTTGAAGATTCTTGTGTGTCTAAAATGTTTTTTGTGTAATCTCGTAGGTGAAGTGCCCCTGCTCTTGCTTCCTGAAAGTAAGATAATTGTTAAAACATTTGGAGATAAAAAAAGATATATTTATTAGGAGAAATATAAAATTATATTATGCAAGTACATACTTGGAGACGTTTTACTTCATCTATCAATTCCGTGCTGTTTTCTTCCAGCTTACCAAGAGATGAATTATAGCAAGACGCATCCAGATTTAAACTTACTTTAACACTCCTGTACTTTTTATTAATAGTATCTGCCTCCATTTGCATTATATTTAAGCGTTGCAATTGATTTTCTAAATTGATACTTTCCTAAATTAAAATATACATTCGTTGCAAAAATACTCTAATAATTATGAAATATATATGGGGTAAAATTTCTATAGCGTACTAAGTGAAAAAAATTGGTCAGATCGGGCTGTAACTTGCACATAGTTTAACCCTATATAGGTTATAACTCCTCCATAATTCACTGTTCCCATTTTTCAAAAAAATTCAACCCCCTCCTAAAGTTTTTGATAAAACCTAATAATACTTCGTGGATAATGTACTCACCCCTGGGGCTAAACTATGTTCTAGTTACAGTTCGATCTGACCAAATTATTTTTTTTAGTGCGCTACAGGAATTTTACCCCATATACAAATGTAAATATATCAGTGGTTAAAATAATGTATTCTTAGAGAGAAATTGTCTAAAATGAAATAGATTTAATAATTACATTAAAAAATTGAATTGTTTGATGGAATTAGTAATTTTATATACAATTGCTAAATTGTGCATGCTTAGCGATTTTAATTTGTCTCATGTAAAATGGAGTGCTACATAGATGATGGCGGTTTGACTTATATACACTCCAGTTTCTACCTCCTTCAGTCTGAACCGTAAAATATGCAATGCAACCAGCAACAAATTAAAAGCGAATCACAAAAAGCAATTATAAGCCAAAAAGTTAATGATTTGAATAAAAATACACGCAAATACTTACTGTTGCTGGTTGCGCCACAAAAACTGTAAAATATTAAAATCACATACAAATAAACCTCCGAAATTAAATATAGAAAGGACTCATTATATAAATATCATTAAAAACATTTGATTATAGAATCAATCTTTTTATATTGATTTTTACAGATTTCATTAAATAAATTCATAAGAAATATATATAAACTAACATTTAGTGCTTCGCTAGATTTATGCTGGTAACATATTAACATATTGTTTCATTAGTACATTGTGTACGAATCGGCACTGCTCGTAGATGTTATAAATAAATAAAATCGCTAAAAATTAAAATACTTTATGTTTTTGTTTTATATTTCTCATAGAGATTAAAATTTTTGAATTAAAAAATAAAACCGCGTATTGATATGTTAGATTTCAATTCTACGGAAAAAACCCAGCAAAAATAGTTATAACAGGCTGCTCTGGTTTAGCTTTGTAGCCAATAGAAATAAGAATAGATTTAAATATTTTTCATAAACAAAATTGGACTACAAAAATTTTAATTTAAGTTTAAGTAATAATTGAAACTAGTTTTTTTATTTTACCGCTGAACTACAAAAACTTTAATTAAAAAACACCGTGTATTATATTACCTGTTTATGAGCAAATCCTAATTCTTTCCAAGCGTGTTTTAATTTTTTGTTGTTTATTGCTTTTGTATATGAGCTTAACATATTATATAAAGTATTCTTTTTCTGAAAAAATATTTTATTTATTAATAGACAGTAACAGAATTTAATTCAGTTAATTAATTAATTAAATTAATTATAGACGTAGTAAACAAATAGTCATTTGTAATTTTTTCCATTTTCTCTTGACAAAATTAATATTTAGGGACAAAACTATATTTTGTTTTACGAGGGCAGCGGAAAGTCTGCATAACCCTTTTTATTCAAGGCAGTAGATATCTGGAGCCTGATGCTCTGACCCGGATAATTGTTCTTGTTCTGGTAGACCGACTAAAAGCAAAAACCTTTAGCTGCGCGGTCTAATCCTTACACTACAGAACTACCGTCAGGTTTTAAATTTCCTAGGTTAGGGTCCCGGGAATCACGATTTTAAGACCCTTCCATTGTCGATCTTTCTGGCCTATACTTATTTCTTGTTCTTGCAAGACTCTTCTTTGTTTTCTCGGGGGCTAATCGCAAGACTTCGCCTTACTTCTCTTTGCTTGATAAGCAGTTTGGGCTTCTCTTGCAGTCTGCGAACTTGGGATCAAATTCACCGCACTCAAAACACGCAGCCGATCTGTACACCGCCTTACAAATTATTCCTATTTGGACAAAATCAAGTCAACGATGACATCTTGTGACCATCAATCTTTTCCTTATTGGAAACGACATAAAATCTAAAATTTATGCGCCGCAAATTATCCAGCTTGTTTGCCTCTTCTTGATCGGTGACTACAACTGCGAGCATCATCCCTCGCTTGTTGGGTCCTAGAACCATCACCTTCCTGCTTTCTGGCTTTTCGAGCATTTCTTGCACTTCTGCTTCTTGGGTAAGACAGTTCAGGTCGCGGATCTCCAGTGTGTGACCCTTCGATTCATTGTCTGCATCTTCCCCATGCTTCCAATTGCTTTGGTGACATTTGCTGTGAATGTCTTCTTATTTGATTCGTCTGCGATTCTAATAAGATCTTCTTTTTGGTAGGCCTGACGCCTACTACTTTTGTGTGGCTTACTTTCGGATTTATCTCCTTGCGAAGTTTGCTCAGAACTTCAGCATACGACTTCCCATCAGCAACTCGGACGACCATGGTCGATCCTCTTGTTTCCTTTTTTTCTTTTCTCTGACTCTTTAGCTTTGGAACTACCGTTGCCATTTTCTCCGCTTTCGTGGGAGACAGATCCTCCTTAATTTTCTTGGAAGTTTCGGTATATGTGTTTCATCAGGAGTACGGGAGCTTCTTCCTTTTTTCCAGGCATTGTTTACAATATGTCTCAGATGTCGCCTAAAATGACGCTCTCGTCTTTTCTTCCTCTCTTCGCAGTTGTCCTCTGCGTATAACCGAGAGTCGTTTCTAAGTCATAATTCGACTTATCAGTCTTTGCATGAATAGCCTTTCCTTCACTTAGGAGAAACTAGGTGCCCCCATGGTCCACTCTCCTTATGGCATTGGATGCTGCAGTACACAAGGTGATTGTCAGAAGAAATCGAATTTCTGGAGTCAAACCACTGGCTAATTGTACCAAGGCAATTTCAGCCAAAACGTTTAACATCGGTTAAACGGTAGAAATTTATCGTGGAAGTGTATGAGAAACTGTCCAGTTGTGCTAGATTCAACCTAGCATCTAGATGAGAAAACTTGACAGACTTGAACGTGGGATGTAACGCTAGCAACGTCAAGATTTTGTACAGGTTTTCTGTCTAGTCCTTGTCTAGTAAAATAAAGTAATTCTAGCCAGTTCCACGATAATAAAAAAGCAGTTTCTACCTACATAAAATATAATTGATATTTGTAAATATAAAATAATATTTTTCAATTTTACTCTTTCGTTTGTTTATTTTATTAGAAAAGTATTTTTAATAACACAATTCCTCTTACAATTATTTTTAAAATTAGTTGTAATACATTTTTTTAAATTGGATTTTTTCTTTAAAACAGATACACATTCACTACAAAAATCGTACTTGTATATTGATAACTAATTACATATATTCTTGCAATCACAAAAAATTCACTCAAAATTGTCAAGTTTTATTATTTATTATATAAAGATTGTATATTTGGAGAGACAACCTCGGAGACTATGAATGACACATATCGCATGTCCTTTTTCTAATAAATGTTTGTTTTGTGCTGTATATTTTAACTTGCATACTGACACTGTTCAAAAATGCAAAAATATGGAAACTGATCACTAGATTTATAAATTTGATTTTTTCTTCACAACAAAATAAATTACAATAATAAACCTTTGGTTTGCTTTTACCGTGCACTATGTCAAGAACTGATTTCGTCTGCTAGATTAACGGAGTCGCAATGCCGCCTTTTCTACGACATATTGTACTAAATTCTTCAGTCAGGAACCTAGACAGGGCCTGGCTAATTCCGAGACAACCTACTATACGAACTTGTACTGAATTTTAAAATCAGTGCCCTAGACAAATTTTAGCCAGATTCTAGACAAGCATTCATATCGAAGAAAATAAATGGAAAACTGTACATTTACTTTTCGGGGCCAGGACAGTTTTTTTCAGAATAAACTTCCACGACAAATACTGTCTAGCATTAGTCTATTTCTAGGAAGGCTACGATAAATTTCTACACGGGACTCGGTAAGGTATGGGAATCTTCGCCATCTGATGAGGACGTGGACTTTTGCAATCTTTGTTTGGAGCTCTTACTACGTAAATTGACGGAGCCGCAAACTCTGTAAAATTCATTGAATGTGATCGGCCTGTGCATTTAAACCCTATTGAATATCCCCATATGGGATCCTATATATGATTCCATATAATATAGGTTCCTTTATAAAAACCGTTATGAAATCCTAGGTCGACATAGGAATCCACATAGAATTCCATGTAAAATTATATATGAAATTCGGATACGATTTGGTGTATGATTTCATGTAGGAATTTATGATGTTGTTTCTACATTGAAGTCTATGTGAATTCCTACATTATTTCCTATAATTTTTCTTGTCAATTTCCTTCATAATCAACTCACATCAAATCTTATAAAAAATATATAAAATTCTAAAGATTTCCTTATATGAAATCTTACATACAAGTTTTAATATAGGAAACCATATGGGATTTCATTTGCATTCTTACATATAATTTCACATGGATTTGAACATAGGAAATCACATGGATTTATATATATAGGAAACAATATAGGATTTCATATGATAAATTTCAGTTGACTGTTTTATACAGAGGCAGTTAACAAAAATTAAAAATTAAATAATATTACTGCAATTCATCTGAAAAGAAAAAAAATTGTGCTTTGCAATACACCTTCTGAGTTAAAGTCTCAGCTTATATAGTATTCAATAATGATCTCAACTGTGAGAAAAAAAAATTTTCACCATCTGGCGGCGTAAGAGTGGAATTATGATTTACATTTACATTTCCTATGTAGGAATCCATGTAAGAACATATGCAGGATCTTATGTAAGATATTACTTTAGATTCTACATGGATTCCATCATGTATGTAGGTATCTATGTAAAATCGTATATGTAGTATCTTACATAAGATCCTATATATATGTTCTCACATGGATTTCTATACATAGGAAATGTAAATGTAAATCATAATTCCACTCTTACGCCGCCAGATGGTGATAATTTTTTTTCTCACAGTTGAGATCATTATTGAATACTATATAAGCTGAGAATTTAACTCAGAAGGTGTATTGCAAAGCACAAATTTTTTTCTTTTCAGATAAATTGCAGTAATATTATTTAATTTTTGTTAACTGCCTTCTGCATAAAGCAGCCAACATGAAATCCCATGTGATTTCCTATGTTCAAATCCATGTAAAATCATATATAAGAATGCACATGAAATCTCATATGGTTTCCTATATTAAAACTTGTATGTAAGATTTCATATAAGGAAATCTTTAGAATTTTATATAATATTTTTTATAAGATTTGATTTGAGTTGATTATGAAGGAAATTGACAAAAATAATATGCCAGAAAAATTATAGGAAATAATGTAGGAATTCACATAGACTTCAGTGTAGAAACAACATCATAAATTCCTACATGAAATCATACACCAAATCGTGTCCGAATTTAATATATGATTTTACATGGAATTCTATGTGGATTCCTATGTCGACCTAGGATTTCATAACGGTTTTTATAAAGGAACCTATATGGAATCATATGAGTCGCCGGAAAGTAAAACCACACATAAAATTCTGACGGCCATGTTAATTCAATGGGAGTCAGAATTTTATGTGTGGTTTTACTTTCCGGCGACTCATATATAGGATCCCATGTGAGGATTTTCAATAGGGAAGTGTGCCAAAATGCGTAACAGCTAAGCTACTGGAAATGCAAAAATATTGTAAATAGATTGAGAAACGATATTTTCTATTGTTGTTTTGCCGCTGAAGGTTTTTGAAGTAAATAAATTTTACTTTTTTCTATATCTGTCCTATATTGAAAATCCCTGTAGAAGATCTTGTACAAGAAAATGTACATGTTTAGCAGCTGAACTTGTACCAGTTCTGATGAGAACATGTACAGGACTGCCGTCCTGATTTAAAAAGACACTATCTACATTTGTCGCTTCGGCTCACTTTTGTGTGTTGATACTACTGAATGACGACCTAAGCGACAAATGTAGATAGTGTCTTTTCAAAACAGGACGGCAGAGGAAAATCTACAAATTCGGCACCAAAATTTGGAATAAGTTCAGGTACCGCACCAAATTGTACGAAAAACTACACTTTCTACGTATATTCTATACTAAAAGGAGTTTGTGATAACTGAAATATTCTGCCGTACGATGTAAAAACTTAGGTAACCGACATTGTCGCTTAGGCTGATTTCAGTAGTAATAAACAGGCTACAATCAGCCTAAGCGACAATGTCGGTTACCTAAGTTTTTACATCGTACGGCAGTATTATTTAGAATGACGCTGCTTATTATGGTGTTGGAGAAACTATCAGAAGATCAGCCTGGAATCCCATAAACATTAATTTTGTTAAGAGAAAATTCGAAAAGTTGTAAACCACTTTTTTCTACGGTAGGCCATGTGATCACCTTTTCTCTATTACATATCATGTAATCTATGGTTTTTCTTAATCGAAGAATTAATTCATCCTGTTTTTCTTTCTCATAATTAGTAATAACTTTTTTTGAATCTGTAGGATTGATATTATTAAAATAAGTTTTGTATTTAGTGTTTTCATCTACCTAGAATAAATAAAATATATTGTTATGTAAATTAGATTAATTAATAAATATCTAAATCTCTGTCAACAGCGTTGCAGAATTCCGATATTGAATTTAAAAAATGATAATTTAAAAATATTTCTATATTCGTGAAAACTACACTTTATTATTTTATAAAAATTAAATAATAAAATTTTTGGAAATTGTTAAATATTGCTCATATACTTGATATTGCAAACTCATGTCTAAGTTTCACTCATAGTTTCTTGTACCATTTACTTTTGTTAAATTCTATGAGTTAAAAGTGATAAAATTACATTATAATACTGTGGCTCTGCATGGAGAATCTTAACTTCTTTTTTTAAAACAAGAAGTTTTTGAGTATTCTCCTTCCTTCTCGAATTGCTCTCTTCGAACCACGATTTTCGTTGACCCTCTGCAATTGAAAGTAATTTTAGTAAGCATAATGGGGAGACTGGAGCAAATTGGACATATACTAAAATTTTTCTCTCTAGTAATCAAAAGAATAGATTAATTTTAATTTATAATGGCTTATTTTAAACAATATTTAATTATAAGTAATTTTTTCCCAAAGGCACTTATATACCTGTATATAAATATTGCTAATATTAAATGAAAATATTGCACTAATATTTTTTGTACTTTAAGATGACTGAAAGAGATGAATTTTTTTTTTTTGCTTATCAATCTCACATAAAAGAATTCTATAGAATAACTATATATAATTTTTATAGAGATCCCTTACAACCCTTTCACATGGAATATCAATGTTTTTTCTAAGAATGTGTATGATATATATATATATTGTAGATATTTTATTCGTAATAGAAGAACTAAAAGAATAGAAATTCATACACACCAATTAACAGAATTTTCTTTTTCATTTCTAGAATTTTTTTATGTAAAATATTGAGTCTTTCATCCTGAACAGATAAAATGTTTTTCTCTGACATTTCGACAGCTTATAAGTATACTAGTGCGTAGTGAATATAACGATTTAATAAATAACGTTGTCTAGGTAACTATGCGTACAATATAAATATTATAAAGTTATATTTACTTTATTTTATTTTAAAAATTGAAAAATCCAAGGTAGCTTAACTATTTTAAAAAATACCTAATAATTTTTTTTGTGAACAGTATTGTAATTTTATACATATAGGCAAATCTCTGGAAACTGTGACTTTTATGTTCCTCTGATATACATATTACTTCCTCATGGCGGAAGCATTGTAATACCGAAATTTTTCGTACTCGATTTTTTTATGTATCTTTATGTTTTTCGACCTCAGGAATCCAAAAATCATATTTTTAAAAAATGTCGTTGTGTGTGTGTGTGTGTGTGTACACTACATTTTTATAAATATCTCGAATACTATAAGATCTAATGAGCTAAATTTTTTTTAAATTGTAGGTCTCGCTGCACAGTGGGGCAGAATGTTAAAAAAGTTGGCATTAAATGTATTTTTCATTGAAAATTATTGACATTAAAGATTTTAAAGTTTTTTGGGTCGCTGATTACGAATATGAAGTCAGTTTTTAAAAATTCAAAATGGCGGATCCAATATGGCGGACAATTTTTTAAAAAATTAGTTTGATTTCTATAAAATTTGGTATCTAGGGGTTTTCGGGGTCGCTGATTGCGAATCTAACGTCAGATTTTAAAAATTCAAAATGGCGGATCCAATATGGCGGACAATTTTTTTAAAAATTGTTCGATTTCTATAAAATGTAGTATCTAATGGTTTTCGAGGTCGCTGATTACGAATCTAAAGTCAGATTTTAAAAATTCAAAATGGCGGATCCAACATGGCGGATATGTTTTTTAAATTTCAACGAAATCGTTTGAAACTAGATATTCGTGTGTTTTTGGGGTTGCTGATTACGAATATGAAGTCAATTTTTTAAAACTACGAAATAGCAGATACAAAATGGCAGATATTAAAAAATTAAATCTCTCATCGAATTTACTGCTATTTGAACAGTTCATTATTTCAACAAGTTCTTTTCTCTTTACGCATGAAGCGTGCTTGAAGTCGTTCCTAATATAAAAATTACAATAATTTATTTTTAATTTCTACACTAATTACAAATATTTACTTAAATTAAAAATACTTATCCGACGAAGAAATTCAAAAATTGTAAGAATATTTATTTATCCCGTTTTATAAATTTCAATTATAAACTTTTAAATATAAAATTAATAATATAGAACATTTTAAAATCAAAATCTTATTAAGTTTAATTTTTAAAGGTTAACAAATTTTCTTAAAACAAAGTATACACTCATTATTGAAAATACATATTTCTGTATTTTGCAATGTGTCCAATAAAATCACTTTTTCTCGAAAAATCGCAAATATTCGCAAAAATTTCAAGCAGATTCAGAAACCTGGAATCAAAACATAATAAAAAATTCAAGAATTAATGCTTGGACTAGCTTGGAACATAACTAAAATGATTAATGTTTACAGAAAATTTTTTCAATTTTTGAATTTCAGAAGCTCGTTTCTTTTAAGAATTTTAATAATTAAAATGTTATAAAATACGATTTTATCTTTTCTATAATATAATTAAATACCTGAATTTGAAGATTCCATGATAAATAATTAAAAATCTGTCACATTGTACGTTTTAATCAGGTTACAAACCTTACCTTGATAAATAAACAAAAAAGCGCGAACATAACTGTTGAAAATAGGTCGACATTAAAACATATTTCTATGAAAATCCGCAATAAAAAAGGGCTAAAAATTATATTTCATCAAACTTTGACTTATTGTTTATTGAAATAATGTAATTAAAAGTTGGAATTGAATTTTTCAATTTTTCATTTTTTGCCAACTTTTTATGCATTCTGCCCCACTGTGCGCTGGTGGACAAATAATGAGAGTACTTTGAGCCATATTAATAAATATTAACTATTATTTTTTTGCATTTAAAAATTTTTGAAAAATCGTTTTTTGCCCATAACTTTAAAAAAATGTTAAGACACCTATGAATATTTTTCTTTAGTTTTGTAGAGTTTTTTAAGACGCATCTTTTGAGCTATTATCGAACATTCTACTGATATTCTATCTAAAGTTATTGAATTTTTAAAAATTAGAAAAAAAAGTTCTTTGCCCATAACTTAAAAAAATTGTATTGACACTAACAGATATTTATCTTTAGTTTTGTAGAGTTTTTCAAGACGCATCTTTTGACCTATTAGCGAAATATCCTACTGTTATTTTATTCAGAGTTATTAACATTTTGAAATTGAAATATTTTGAAAACCCTGCCTTTTTTGCAATATTTATTAAAAAATCTTCATGTAACTTTAAAATTATTAGGAACAACTTGAAGAATATTTAAAAACGAATGTGTGATTATATTTTATTTTATAATAAAAAAAAATCCTGAAATAAGCTCCCAAAAAAAGGCCTTAACACCTTACTACCCCCATAATGCAATATTAATAAGTAAAAAAAAAGAAAATAATTGTGTTATGATTTGCACATAGAATATTTATTTATAAATAACTTTGATAACAATTTATTTATAAAATATGACATGTAACGTTCAATAATTTAAAAAAATCTGATTAAACTAAATTAAAAGGTTAAAGTATTATAAAATTTAAAAAAACAAATTTTCTTAACTTTTAAGAACGTTTTAACAAAGCAATTTCTTCGTCTAATCTAGGACTTTCTTTTATAGCATCACTCATTAATCTTTTTTTCTTATGCAAAAAATTTAATTCGTTAAATTGTCCACAACAAAAAATCAATATCACTTTCGAAAATTTTAACAATTCAAGGTTTTGCTACAAAATTCAAAGATATTTCAAGGTTTTCAAGGTAAAAAAAAATCAAGCAAAATTCAAGGTTTTCAAGGTCGCTGGACACATTGAGTCCATAGCTGATAGCTGATATGGTAAAAATTATCAAAATTAATGAAATTCGAGAAGAATCCGATGATGTCGATAATAAAGACGAACAATATAAAATTCTTTTTCCAAAAAATTCCAGACCCAAATATAAATTTTTAAAAATTAATTTTTAGCCAATTATGACAAAAAATACAAAATCCTTTAATTAAATTATTAATAAAATAATTTATTAGGATCAGTTGGGGTAAATCGAAATAGTAGTTATTTCAGGTAAATAACAAATTTTAAAACAAGTTCAGCGGATGCTGAGCTACACTCACTAAAACTGGGGAAAAATTTTCGAAAAAAAAAATTTGCCAGATCATGACTCGGGAATAATGCCAAAAAATTGAGCAAAAAGTCTCGAACGAAAAATGTATGGCGCACTTTTTGATTGGTCCAGCGGATGCTGAGCTACACTAGAATACAAATTTGGAAAAATTTTCGAAAAATTAAATTTGCGAGATAAACGTTCCGGTATACCGCCAATAAAATAGGGAAAAAGTTTCGAACCAAAAATGTATGGCGCACTTTTTGATTGGTCCAGCGGATGCTGAGCTACACTCAAAAATATTTTGGAAAAATTTTCGAAAAATTAAATTCGCGAGATAATCGTTCGGGAATACCACCATAGTGATTAGAAGAAAGTTCTGAACAAAAAATGTATGGCGCACTTTTAGATTGGTCCAGCGGATGCTGAGCTACACTAGAATACAAATTTGGAAAAATTTTCGAAAAATTAAATTTGCGAGATAAACGTTCCGGTATACCGCCAATAAAATAGGGAAAAAGTTTCGAACCAAAAATGTATGGCGCACTTTTTGATTGGTCCAGCGGATGCTGAGCTACACTAGAATACAAATTTCGAAAAATTTTCGAAAAATTAAATTTGCGAGATAAACGTTCCGGAATACCGCCAATAAAATAGGGAAAAAATTTCGAACAAAAAATGTATGGCGCACTTTTTGATTGGTCCAGCGGATGCTGAGCTACACTCAAAAATATTTTGGAAAAATTTTCGAAAAATTAAATTTGCGAGATAAACGTTCCGGTATACCGCCAATAAAATAGGGAAAAAGTTTCGAACCAAAAATGTATAGCGCACTTTTTGATTGGTCCAGTGGATGCTGAGCTACACTAAAAAAAAATTTGGAAAAATTTTCAAAAAATTAAATTTGCAACATAATCGTTCGGGAATACCGCCATAGTGATTAGAAGAAAGTTCTGAACAAAAAATGTATGGCGCACTTTTAGATTGGTCCAGCGGATGCTGAGCTACACTAGAATACAAATTTGGAAAAAATAAAGAAAAATTAAATTTGCGAGATAAACGTTCCGGAATACCGCCAATAAAATAGGGAAAAAGTTTCGAACAAAAAATGTATGGCGCACTTTTAGATTGGTCCAGCGGATGCTGAGCTACACTAGAATACAAATTTGGAAAAAATAAAGAAAAATTAAATTTGCGAGATAAACGTTCCGGAATACCGCCAATAAAATAGGGAAAAAGTTTCGAACAAAAAATGTATGGCGCACTTTTTGATTGGTCCAGCGGATGCTGAGCTACACTCAAAAATATTTTGGAAAAATTTTCGAAAAATTAAATTCGCGAGATAATCGTTCGGGAATACCACCATAGTGATTAGAAGAAAGTTCTGAACAAAAAATGTATGGCGCACTTTTTGATTGGTCCAGCGGATGCTGAGCTACACTAAAAAATAATTTGGAAAAATTTTCAAAAAATTAAATTTGCGAGATAAACAACCCGGAATACCGCCAATAAAATAGGGAAAAAGTTTCGAACCAAAAATGTATGGCGCACTTTTTGATTGGTCCAGTGGATGCTGAGCTAAACTAGAAAACAAATTCGGAAAAATTTTCGAAAAATTAAATTCGCGAGATAATCGTTCGGGAATACCACCAATAAAATAGGGAAAAAGTTTCGAACAAAAAATGAATGGCGCACTTTTTGATTGGTCCAGCGGATGCTGAGCTACACTCAAAAATATTTTGGAAAAATTTTCAAAAAATTAAATTTGCAAGATAATCGTTCGGGAATACCGCCATAG